CATGTGGTATTAACATGTAGTAATAACATGTAGTATTATAACGTGGTATTAACATGTATTATTAACATGTAGTATTAACACGTCGTTTTAACATGTGGTTTTATGATCTGATGTCAAGTGCACAGGTGTGAACGCTCTCAGATCAGATATAGATCTGATCACAGACCCAGAGTCTGAGCCACATGTGTCCACATGTTGTTAACAGTGAGTCCGTCCTGGGCCACATTTGAAGGACATCCTCTGACCTGCTGCAGTTTCTCTGCTCGTTGATTTGTGTGTAACCACGATATCAACACGGATCAGCTGATAATGATCCATACTTTCATTAAACTGGTCAAACTTTTTCCCTCAGCTGAGTTTCACTCTCCTGACTCTCTTTCTACCTTTGTTGGTGTCTTTTGGTTTTCATGAACAGAAATGATGTGTTTGTGTTGAGGTGAGATTGGATCACGAGACGCATGTGGGGCCACATGATGTATCTTGTGATTTGATTATATAATATAAAATTGAATTGTTACTAAAAACACCAACGGTTGTGAAGCTAACTGACAGAGCTAACGTTAGCTTGCTAACATCTGACCTGTTTCTAGATTGAAGATAGTTTGAGGTACCATATTTTTTTCTTACCTTAATGCTTAAGATGTAAACATTTACAGAAACACTAAAAACACCAAAACATGCTAACGTTAGCCAGACTACATGACGGAATAGTGTTGCTTATGTTAATCAGATCTGAGATAAAAACTATTACACTTCATTGAATCAACTTTCTACTACAGTAACATTGTAGCTACACTGGTTCTGTAACAGGTTTTGATTGGATGACCACAACCATCGTTGACAATCAGTAAAAATGTCACACATTATATTGTGGCAGATTAAAACGACTCATTTCCAACTAATGTCTGTTCACACATGGTAAAGGTTCTAGTGAACACTTCTATTTTGAAGGTTCAGTGTATAGACTTTAGTGACCTCTAGTGTTGAAGTGTCATGTTGCAGCTGATTACCACCCCCTCCAAACATGACAGAGAACCTGTGGCAGCTTCAGTTGTCACAGATACTCAAAAAGTTTAGTTTGTCCAGTCTGGGCTACTGTAAAAAACATGGCTGCCTCCGTAGAGNAATTATTTAATTGATGCTTTTTTAACTAATTTCCAGAAACATTTATTAATTATGGGATGGATTTGGGATGTGATTAGGTCATTTCCAGACCTTAAAAAACAAACATTCATTACGTTTATCTGATGTTGGAATTAAATTCTTTTCTTCCTGCTGTGAAATCTGCCTGACGATAGGAGTCACATGATCCATGATTCAGGAGCTTTGAACATGAATGTGTGTGTTTGTGTGTGTTTGTGTTCTAAATACTAAACTACTTGAAACTGACGTCAGTGTTGAATGAATCTATCTTTAGTGCAGTTAGTGAACCTGCTCGGAGTCATGTGACCTCAGGCTTCATCACAACTGAAGCTCTGTGTCAACGACATCAACACGTGTTCACCACAATAACTTGATTCATGTGAACATGTTTCAGATCAGCTGTGAAACAGGTGTCAGATGTGTTACCCTTACGCAGCCACTAGAGGGGGGTGATGGGAACAGTCGCAGCATTAAAACCATCACATTAATATCTCCCGCAGCCAATCAGCCAATAGGCAGAAAATGTGTTAACGAAACCTTCATCAAACTGAAACCAAACGTCCACAACGTCACATTAAAACATGAAGTGAGCCAAATCTCGTCTTCTGCTCTGCTGCTGATGAACAGCAGGTGGCGCCGATTCTCCAATCACTTCTACGATTCTGGGATTATTTCAATTATTCTGATATTATTGGCTTCGCAGGCTGTGAGTCTGAGATTTATGTGAATTGTTTTATATCTGAGGTTAGGAAAATCAATCACTGAACAATCATCTGCGATTTAACACCCGAGATTGGAGCAGAATCAGCCAATCAGCTCATACGTCGTGAGATTTGTCCACAGATGGTGGGCGGAGTCTGGAAGGTGGACACTTGGATTCAGCCTGAATCAGAGGTCGTCAGGATCTGACTCCTGACACTCAAAAGTTCACTTACTGGATTTCCTCTGAACTTTCAATTGAACATCAGGAGACTCTGATTGGACGATGTGGTCAGTCTCCTGTGTTGGCCAATCAGAGCTGAACTCTGTGTAGTCACTGACACATCATGTGACCTGGAGCGTGTCAATGAAACAGAAGCAGGAAGACTTATCGTTGTTGATGATGTCACATGATGCAGTTTATATTATTGCTAAACTCAGCTGTCACCTCCACAGGAAGCTCCGCCCACACACTCTCTGCCCCACCTGAGGGCGAGAGGTCAACGACCTCTGGTGGAGGCGGAGTCTGCCACAGATGTCACTCTGAGGTCAACGACCAATCACATTTCAATTAATCCTTAAGATTTTGTTTCTGTGGCAACGTATCAGCTGATGATTGAACTGTCACATGATTCTGATGAATCAGACACATTTACAATTCATCCACGTGTTTTAGTTTTCAGGTACTTTTACTTGACTGCAGTTCAGAGGGAAGGACTATAGTGCTGCAGTAAAAATACCTTTACTTGTAGTACTTGTACAATGTGGTATTAAGAGATAAGATATTATGATTACTTTTACTACTTGTGAAGATTGTGACATCAAACTGACGGCCCAGTCACATCTAATGATTATTTATCTTTCAATCAATAATCTCTCAAACGTAGGGTCTCTCTGACCTTTGAACTCCATCTTCTGATCTCATCCACCAATAAGATGTGGAGCTTTCTGGCTGCTGGTCCTGTGCACAGACTCCAACCCTCTGATGACATCACAACGCTCCAGATCCAACATGGAGTCCAGGAGTGTGTCACTAACTCGCAGGTTTCCAGAACAAAATCAAACTGTGAGCAATGAGTTCAGGGTGAGTTTATAAAAAACGACATCACTACGAAAAAATGCATCAGCAGGTTTAAAATCTGCAGCGCTTCAGTATAAAGTGCGTCATCGTTACGTTTCTTATTAAAATATTGTTTTCCCTGGAGTGAAACCATAGTAAACATGTTACACCTGGAAAAATAAACATCTGGAATGTCTCTCGTTTTAAGTCCCTCTGATTTTGGTCAAGCTGAACTCGTCCCCGGAGCCTGAAACACAAAACACCAGGCCACAGTTCATCACAGCTGGTCGTCATGGCAACAGGGGTGAGAGCAGAGCATTATGGGTAGTAAGGTGTTCCAAACCAGCGGGACTGAAGCAGGAGGTCATGAGTCCAGCATCACATTTTTCAAATGTGGCAGATGTGTGACATCATCACATCTGATGATGTCACACAGAGAGTTTGTGACCCCGTGACCCCATGACCTCAGCCTGGATGTGTTTTAAACATGAGGAGAAGCTGAGACGCAGCAGAATCTTGATCGATACTGATCAGCTGCAGACAGAGCGCCCTCCGCTGGACCTCCAGATGATGACAGTGACTCAGTGTTTTAAGACCAGAATCTGGATCCAAGATCCGGCCCAAAGCTTTTCATCTGCTGCGTCCTTCCTCTCCTTAAAGCACGATGGTCAGAATATACGCTCAAAGACACAGGAAGTGGAATTACAAAATAAAATATGAAAAAGTAAAGTATATAAAAATAAAAAACTCAGTCAGTGATGAAGATGATATGGAGGGTTAGCATGCATCAGTGTTCATCCATTCATCTGTTAGCATGCATCTGTTAGCACACATCTTTTAGCAGGCGGCGGTGACGGCGGCTGATTTGGCATTGTTGGCAGAGGGGCTGGGTTTGGTGTGTGCAGCAGGCTGACGAACAGGAAGAGGGTGGAGGTGGGCAGGTAAATGCAGAGGAAGAGGACGACGTCCTCGCTTAGACAGAGGATGATGCCCCTCTGCTCTGTCAGCACCCAGTCCACCAGCATCCCCACCAGCAGGTAGTACACCTGGAACTCCTGAAGGTCCTCCCATCCCCCCCCAACCCCCTCCAGCCCTACCCCCACCTCCTCTGATGAGGTCTTCCGCCTGGCCGCGCCCCCTCGGTCGCCACTGTCACTCACCATGGGCTTCATCTCTGCCCCCTCAGACACCGCTTCCTTCACACGGCTCCGCCCACGCTCCACCGCCCGCTCCAACCTCCGGCTGCTCTCTACGAACTCCTGCAAAGGAGGAGGGGCAGAGAGGGAGTCCCACAATTCTCTTCAGTTCAGATGATGACAACATCAGCTCATGATCACAAGATGAACATGGAAAACAAAGATGGCAGATTGTTTTTAATAAACCTGGTCATTATAAATTATTCATCATAATAGTATGATGAATTAGTCTCCTCTTCCTGATACATCGCTCTGCTTCCTGTTACATCACTCTACATCCTTCCACTTCCTGTTACATCACTCAGCTTCCTGTTACATCACATCATGTGGGAGGTTCTCACCATCAGAGCTTTGTCCATGAAGAACTCTTTTCCCGGAGTTCCATCGTTGTACTTAGTGTCGATGGCGAAGCAGAGGAATAGGACGTCTACCACGATCTCAAAGATGGACAGGAAGCAGTGCGCCACCAGGAAGGAGAAGAGACACACGATGATGAGTGGCAAAAGCCACTCGGCGTAATCCCTCTGGTAGTTGAGGAGGAGGACGCCGGCGAATGCTGTCGATGTCACAATCAGGACCTGAGACCAGATTTATGACAAGAAGTGTCAGTGAACTCAAAGATGAACTGACAACCATTTATCTAAAAGAGGGGTAGAGTCTATGACTGACAGAGAATATTTAATAACTACCAAGATGCGGCTGCTGTGAAACCAACTGCACATATACTTTCAGTGGACGAACAAACTCCTCACCTTCCCCAGGAAGAGCACAAAGTCTCCTACTGCGTTGATTGTGGCGACACGCAGAGCGTTTTCCACCAGGATCACGAAGGCGTCGCGTGCAGATGTGCAGAAACTGGTGCTGTTGATGGCTGTGGCTGCATATGCATTCTGGGAAATAAGAATCCAGGTGAGAGAGGTGAGAGCGTGACATTAAAACCAGACGAGCTGGTTGGTCGTTACCTGATTGAGATAGTTGAGGCACTTCTCCAAACACCACAGACAGCAGATACACGTCTTCAGCAGACAGCGAGCGCAGGCGTTCTCCTACAGCATCACACGAAACAATCAGATCAGAGTAACAGCAGGGTGAAGTGTGTTTCAGCAGTTTGATGTAAGTAAAGTTGATTTATACCTTTCCTTTCAGCTGGTTGTGGATGTACATGAGGATGAGTCGAGGGATCTTGACCAGCGTGATGATGAAGGATCCTTTAGCGACGGTGCCCAAGTGGTACCTGACCAGCCTCAGGACTGACGACAGGATCGGAGTCACTGGGAGACGGTTCTTGTCCCTGAAACATATAGTAGTCATTAATGTGACTATGACAATTTCCCATTAGCCCTGTGGTCCCCCTTAACTACATGTTACAGGTGTGTTACAGGTGTGTAACAAGTGCGTTACAGGTGTGTACAGGTGTGTTACAGGCGTGGTGTGTAACGTGTCTTACAGCTGCAGTACAGGTGTGTACAAGTGTAGTATACAGGTGTGTTCAGGGGTAGTACACATGTAGTACAGGTGGACTCACCTGGTGAAGTAGTACGTGACCACAGCTCCAGCCACAGTCATCTGCTGACAGGCCAGGATGAACTCACTGATCCAGACCAGACCCACGGCGTGGTACCAGGTGAGGTACTGAAGATGACCTGTCAGTCTGAACTCTGTCAAACCTGTCTCCTCATTCTGGACCGGGTTTCCTGCAGTAGACCAGGACCCAGAGGAGACAAACAGTTCAGTCTGCTCACCAGCAGAGGGCAGAATGTTTCTCCGGCATCATTGCAGCGGGGTCTGCAGGTTTCTAAATTCATCGCTTTTACTATTGTTTCCTCTCAAACAACAACAGAGAAATCATGAGTCAAGACTCATCATCAAATTGAATAAGAAGAATCTTTGTGATGTGATGTTAGCCATGTTTACAACACCTGATGGTTCATACCAGTGGTTCCCAGGAAAAGCAGGACCAGGATCCAGTAGATCCAGAAGAGCAGGAGAGTGAGGAAGGTGACGAAGGGCTGCAGGGTGAGGAGGGGGAGGTGGATGAAGACTTTTCCTGCCACGTGGAACAGAGCGATAGTCAGCGCCACTCGTTTCCTCATGAAGAGCATCAGCAGCAGCAGGATGATCTGGAACAGTGTAGAGTGTAATAGAGACGTCAACAAAGACTCCCAGGGTGATATTCAGCAACAAACAGAGCAGTCAGAGAGCAGATGGAATGCTGAAGATGAGATGATGAGAAAACCAGTAAAATTGTGGCTCTGGGACATACGGTGAAGATGGTGGCAGCAACAGCATAGACAAGCAGAGCCTGTCCGCTGTCTCTGGTGATATCCACCTCTTCTTTCGCCTCCTTCACCACTTTAGTGGAGGTGTCGTTTCCGTACAGCCGGTGGTCGATGTAGAGCCACCAGAGGACGCTGGTTCCCGCTGACACAACAAACAAAACAGTGACTCAGCGCATGATTTAATACTGAACAGAGAAAGATCCATGTATGTGACCTCACCGAGTGATCCAAGGACAACCAGAGAGGTGAGGATCCAGACGAGGACAGCGGAGATGTACCTGATGATCACCATGAGGATCATGGAGAGGACTGAAAGACAGAGATCATAGGTCAGAAAAAAGGTCTCAGTGAGTCATAGTTTTTGAAACGAACTCCATGATACTTTAAGTCACGTCCACAATTGTGATGTCACTTCCTGCCACTAATGATCAATGATCATTTGTAGAATCAGAATTACTACCATTAAAACATTTTTTATTAACTTCTCAATCAATGAATATTCATCTTACTGAAAACAGGGAAGAGACTACTGTCCCAATAATGAGGGAGGAAATGCTGATGAATGTGTCACTTAAAACGGACATGACCTGACGTCCTCACCCAGTGCTAGCACGCACAGTCCCACGATGATCTCTTTACTAGCAGCAACGCCAGCGATCAGTCGGTGCAGAAAACTGTTATCGCCCACAAACGTCACCACGGCCTCTGCAAACTTCGTATAACAGGAAATATCCACCGGAGTGCAGCGGTTAAACACTGGCAAAGGCTTACTGCGGAGAGAGGAGAGAGGTCAGAGGTCGTCTGGTAGACCTCTGGTTCTTCTATATAGAGTATTTAAAAGAAACACTGAAAACCCTATGGACAATATTTTTAATGAATAGTAGATAGGTTAGAGAGGTCAAAGCTGGACGCACCTGGGTGGAACAGGAAGTTTGGGACATTTAGAGAACCTCTCAGGTAGACCAGGATATTTATGAGCAGCTAACTCGTAGGAACACAACTCAGAACCTGGAACAAACACAGGGACACATTAGGCTCCACCCACACAACCCATGACGTCATTTCTACTGAGCACCTGCAGACTGGTTTAGCTCGAGAACCAATCACAAGGCTTGATCAGAGACGTGACTGAAGGTCTTTATAAATGTAGGGATCAACATCGTCTTCCTCAGAGTTCTGACTGAATGAGTTTGACATCACTTCTTGATGATGTCATCAACAGAAACCAGATAAATTAGAACTTCATGTAGAATCTTGATGTTTTTGATTTTCCTTTAGTGTCACAGTGATCCAGTTACAGTTTTCTGTACGTCACCGAGTTCACTGCAAACTGGGGTCGATCACAGTCAGTACAACTGCTTTTACTTTGAAACAAGCTAAAATAAAGCTCTCAGCTGACTGTAACAGTGGCTCCTTTCATAAACAACATGGCTGCCAGAGAGACGTCACATGACCAAGATGTCCGTCACGTTTCAACAGTGAACTGAGTCAAAGCTAACGGACGAAAAACGGAGCAGAGTGGCACCGACACGCCACTGAAACACAGGGTGGCCATTGTCACTGTATGTGTGTGTCACTGTGTGTGTGTGTGTGTGTGTGTGTGTGTGTGTG